GAAAAAAAAAACTGGAGGAAGGACTGGGAACAACACAACTATCGATCAACAAGTAACTGAATTACCAGTTGCGGCTATACAATGGTATACTACTCAGCAATAAAAAGGAATGAACTACTGATACATGCACCGAAATATATACGAATCTCAAAACAATTTTGCTGAGTGAAAGAAGCCAGATACAAATGATACATTGTATGATACAAACTATCTATAATGACATAAAAGCAAACCAGTGGTTGCTTGAGGGCAAGGATGGGGCCAAAGGAGGACATTGGTGAAGGGAGCAGGGGGGAAGAATTATAAAGGGGCACTAGGGAACCCTTTTTTGGGGGGGTGGATGGATATGTCCATTATTTTTATTGTACTCATGTTCTCATAGGTATATATGTATGTCAAACTTAAAGTATACTTTAAACATGTACAGTTTATTGTATGCCAATTATACTTCAGTAAAGTTTTTTTTGTTTTTGTTTGTTTGTTCAAAGAAGAGATGAGGGTGGTAGAGAAATTAGTTGAGAGGTGTCATTTGAGGTGGAAGATTATGGCCTTGGCTTGAAAGAAAGCTCTGGTCAGGCCAGAAAGAAGGGGCAGTCCAGTCTAGCCCTGAGAAAGAGCAAACGGGTTTAGGGGAAGGTGATTAGACCATGTTAACTAGAGCAGAAATCCTGTATAGCAGTAGGAGATAGAGCTGTGGAAGAAGGAAGAGGCAGATTATGGAGGGCCTTGAATATCAAGCTTTTTAAAAGTGTGCATTGGGTTGTAGTTCCACCATTTACTTCCTAAACAATCCTGGACAAGTTATTTAACTTTTCTGAAATTCAATCTCCTTTACCTATAAAATAAGGATGAAACCCATCTTAAGTGGTGGCTGTGAAGATTAAATGAGGCAATGCTTGTCAACCACTTAGCAGAGGACAAGGTAAATATTTATGTGCTCAAGAAGTAGAAGCAATTATTATTATAACAAGTATTGTTATTAACTCCAACTTAAGCAAATGTATACAGATGTTTGAGAAGGAGAAAGATCAAAGAGGTTCTTTAGGAGGATAAACCTCACCATCATTAATCACCTCCCCTCCAGAGTTAAAATACCAAACTCTAACACCTCCTTCCCCTTTCTCACTCTGTAACTTCCCAGTAAACAGTGGAGGAGCCCACGGTCAGTAACCAAAGCTCTCTCACGTTAGTAAAAGTATTTCAGCTGGTGAGCCCTACAACTATGGGGACAAATAAAACTGAGCTGAACTATGGTTTCTGGAATGGGGAATGAGAGCACCCCACCCAAGACTTTCAGCCACCACCATAGACTTATATCCAAGGTGCATGCTAAAAAAAAAAGCAGGCGGTATTTCTTTATATTTTAATTTTAAAGCATAAATATTTCCCCCCAAATCCAGGTTTTCGGAGAGGGATCTTACTTTCTCAGGTCCGTTAAACATTGAACCAAGAGTTTATTCTCTGGAGAGTTTCCGAGAAGCCGCCTTTCTGTGCCTCAGTTTCCTCATCTGTAAAATGGGACATAATAATGGTAACTATTTCATAAGGTTCTTGTGAGGATTAAATGAGTCATTACGTGTAAAGGACCTAGAACGTCATCTGGCATACAGTGAGTACTCTGCAGGTGTTATAAACTTTCTTAAGGACTTTATTTCTTCTATCTTGTTTATAGTGCTTCTTGTTTGTGGTGATTTTTGTTTGGTTTTGTGGTCATGTATTTTCCAATTACTGAGCATTAACAGTGTCCTCATAACAGGCTATTTCAGCCCCCGTGCACTTCTGGAGTAGAAGTAAGTTTGGCTGATGGTTTATAAATATTCATCTTCCAAGTCAGAGGCACTCAGCTTTTCCACAGACCCAGTAGTGGTTGTATCTGTTCATTTCATTTAGTTAAAAACTATATTGCAGATACAATAATCCAGCCAAGCTTTTAAATTAACTGGTAACTTTATTAATAACAATAGCATCTACACACATCTGAAAACACACATGTAAGAAACATAAGATTTATTCAGTCTCTGATAATGTCTGGAGCCCATTTGGATTCATGAAACCCCTGCAGTTAACTCCAGGATGCCTTATCCAAAAGCAGAGTTGAATAACTCATCAGACCATCAGTGTCTTTATCAGAAAAATCAAGGCTTGGACAGAAAGATTCAACATTCTGTAATTACATGAAGTAAAACTAAAATACAATTGTCCTCGCATCTGAGGATACAAAGGTGGACAAGGTTAGCTGCATGACCAGTGGACCAATCACTTCGCTTCTCTCAATCTCGTTTTTAAAGGGATATTAATCTTGTCTATTGTATAGGGTCTCCTGAAAAGCAAATGAGATGGTGAACATAAATTAAAAGCTCATCTCCGTGAGGAACAAAGGATCGGGATGGAAGGATGTCATAAATAGAGAAAGGAAAAGGATTTCCAGTGACCAATGTTTTGAATTTAATGAAAATCCAAGAGATTAGGCCAAACTGAGAAGTATAAAGGAGGGACAAAACTGCCACCTCCCCCTTAAAGCAAAAAAAAAAGAAAGAAAAAAATCTTAACAAAGTCCTCCTCCCAGCTGTTGCCCTGAGGTGACCACGGACAGACTTGGGGGAGGAGCTCCAAAAACATTTCCATTTTCATCACGTCTTCACATACATCTAATGAAAATGAACCGCACCCATCCATCCACGGAAGCGATTAAAAAAGGAGTGGGACAGAAAAATTAATTAAACAAATATTAACTCAATAAGTACTGAAGTGTCCACTGTGTGCCCAGTACTGGTTGGCACTGACGATATAGAGGAAAACCAGACCAGCAAAGTTTCTGTTAAGGGCTTGAGGAGAAAGACCGTAAACAAGAATATAAACGAACAAGACAATTTCAGACCGCTGCTAGGAGGAAGATAAAATAGAGTGAGGGCCCAGGACAGGCAGGAAGAGGCGCAAACTCCTGAGTGGATGACTTGGGAAGGTTTCTGAGAGGTGACGTTTGAGCCCAGACTAAAATGACTTGTGCCTTACAGTTACTTGAGGCCGAAACATTCCAAGATAAGAGAATTAAATGCAAAAATGATCCACCAACCAAAAAATAACAGGGATTTCAAAGCACCAAAGTGAGCGGTGGAAACCAGAATCTATGAATTCTGGAGCGGCGCGAGATTTTGAATATTCATGTCGTCCAATCAGGGAAAGGCTGAGACCAGGCAGCGCGGGTTCCGTCCTAAATACCCCGAACTACTGGTATCCACAGGAGGTCACGTCGTAGGGCGTAACTGGTGACTGGGCACCCAAGCCGCTGCCAAACTCTCGGGAGAATTCTTCAGGGCTGTGATGCAGTGTTCGCAGGACTCGGGCTTACTTACATCCTGGGGTCCTTTCTTAAATGAGGATGGCCGAAATCACTCACTTCGCTTTAGAACACCGATGAAAGGTACCTAACAGAGCCACCAGGACACAACAGTCTACAAGCAGAGGGTGGGAAGGAGCAGTCTCAGAATCCTGATTTAGAACTGACTCATAAGAAAACGAAGCAGCACAGTGAGGGGTTAAGACTCGGCCTAGATTCAAAAGCAATGCCAGTCACGCGCCAAGAACCTCAAGTCATAAGGGCCTAAAAAGCTACGTGTGCCATTTGCCATTACTTTCATCCAACTACTGCAACTTACTTTGTGAGAAGAGACTGAGGGAAAACAAGTGAACAAAGCTCTTCTCTGGTGATAAGGTGGGTGGCTCTGAAAAGAGCCTTTGGAAAGTCAAGCGGCCCGGCGACTTTTGCGAGCGCCGCGTCCCGGCAGGGACTCACTTGGAGCTGGTGTACTTGGTGACCGCCTTGGTGCCCTCGGACACGGCGTGCTTGGCCAGCTCGCCGGGCAGCAGCAGGCGCACGGCCGTCTGGATCTCCCGGGAGGTGATGGTCGAGCGCTTGTTGTAATGCGCCAGGCGCGACGCTTCGCCCGCGATGCGCTCGAAGATGTCGTTGACGAACGAGTTCATGATGCCCATAGCCTTGGACGAGATGCCGGTATCCGGGTGCACCTGTTTCAGCACTTTGTACACGTAGATGGAATAGCTCTCCTTGCGACTGCGCTTGCGCTTTTTGCCGTCCTTTTTCTGAGCTTTGGTGACAGCTTTCTTCGAGCCCTTCTTGGGCGCGGGAGCGGATTTTGCCGGCTCAGGCATTGTAGAATACAACACCCGTTAGCAAGGAAAAGTAGCATGAGAATGGGCGGGCCTGATCCTTTTATAACCACCGTATGCAAATCAAGGCTCCAAAAGTCTTACGTTTCCATTGGGCCATGTAGAGACCTTGCGTTATCAGTAATAGCTACGTAACAACACCGACTCTTGACCTTATTGGCCATTTCTGGAGCCAATTTAGGACCAATGAAAAATTCGTTCCTGACCCCACCCCTAGGAAAGCTTATAAAAGCTTTCCAGTTGCTGATCTTTGAATCCTGTTTGTTGCGAGAATCTGAGCTCTAGGCCTTGTAGCATTATTTTCGGTTATGTCTGGCCGCGGAAAGCAAGGAGGCAAGGCCCGCGCCAAGGCCAAGTCGCGCTCGTCCCGCGCAGGTCTGCAGTTCCCGGTGGGGCGAGTGCACCGTCTGCTACGCAAAGGCAACTACGCCGAGCGGGTGGGGGCCGGCGCGCCGGTGTACATGGCGGCAGTCCTCGAGTACCTGACCGCGGAAATCCTGGAGCTGGCGGGCAACGCGGCCCGAGACAACAAGAAGACGCGCATCATCCCTCGTCACCTGCAGCTGGCCATCCGCAACGACGAGGAACTGAACAAGCTGTTGGGCAAAGTCACCATCGCCCAGGGTGGCGTTTTGCCCAACATCCAGGCCGTTCTATTACCAAAGAAAACTGAAAGCCACAAAGCCAAAAGCAAATAAATCCAGACAAAGTGAACCAAAGACCAAAGGCTCTTTTTAGAGCCACCCAAGTTTTCAAAAAAAGAGCTAATGCGCTGTTTCGTGATCAGCCCTTCATTTGACACTTTAGTGGCTCTTAAAAGAGCCTTTGGGGTGAGTGGGGTTGGTGTCAAGCCTCCTAATTACTTATTCTTGCCAGGCTTGTGACTCTCCGTTTTCTTGGGCAACAAGACTGCCTGGATATTGGGCAAGACGCCGCCCTGGGCAATTGTGACACCCCCGAGTAACTTGTTGAGCTCTTCATCATTTCTCACGGCTAGTTGCAAATGGCGAGGGATGATGCGCGTCTTCTTATTGTCTCGGGCCGCGTTGCCGGCCAGCTCCAGGATTTCCGCTGTCAGGTACTCCAGCACAGCCGCCAGGTACACCGGCGCGCCAGCCCCCACTCGCTCGGCGTAGTTGCCTTTGCGCAGCAGGCGGTGCACTCGCCCCACGGGGAACTGAAGGCCAGCGCGGGACGAGCGCGACTTGGCCTTGGCCCGAGCTTTGCCTCCCTGCTTTCCGCGTCCTGACATTACGGCTAAAAATGCAGTTACAGCTTCTTTTTCAAAGAGAAGAATGTGGCAAGGATAACCAATTTGATGTAATTTATAAGAGCTACCGGGAGGGGTGAAGCGAAGTGGTTTGATTGGCTAAAAGCTGAGTCCGATCGAACAGCCAATAGGAAAGCGGAAAGCAGACTCTTCGTTTGCATCTTGTACTACGAGGAAATGACGGCCTTGGTAAGTACCTACCAATCGCTGTGAACCACATTAAAGCCCCTTATTTGCATGCCAGGATTTTTAAAGCGAAGGTGTTCAAACAACACGCTGTTTTGTTTTTTATTGAGTGGCAGTTTTTTTCCAACTTAAGAGTGGTAGTTTTTTTTTCACCAAGGGAAATCCCAAGAAGGACCCAAAAGGACTGCAGAGAGCCTCTGGCAGATGTAGAGTTACTCCCACTCAAGGGTACCGAATTCTGAAGCTGATTACCCCCTTGAGCCCTAAATTACCCTCCAAGTCCCTCCCTTTGTGGCTCGTCAAAGCTAAACTTCTTAAAGAATATAGTACTACGAAGCCCTCCCCCTTTCAATTTACTCGTTGCCTGCAGTGTGGCTTAGCCCCATGCCACCCGCCACTGCTCCTCGGACTCCAGTTTGACCGAGGCTAGCATAGAATTAGTCATCCTCCTCTTTACCTCCCGGCGGCGTCCAAAACCGCCTTGAACCTGAAGGCGGCTTTCCCTTGGCTTTCAAAATGTCGCCTTTCGTCTTTCCTCATCCTGCTTCTGTTCCTTTGCCCTTTTTTTGTTACCTATTTATTTATTTAATTTTATTTCTACCCACCCCCACCCCTCAACTCTGGCAACACCAAATTCCTCTGCCCGTCTTTAAATCCCGGTGTCCAGCTGGGCTCTGCCTCCCTACTCGCCCCTCCCCCACATTCCTCCATTCTTCAATCTCCCCGAAGAGTCTTACCCAACTCCATGCTTTCAACTAACACCTAAATTTGTTTCAGAAGCTCAGACGCATATACGTGACTGCTGACTGGATACTTCAACCTGTTTGTCCCAGTAACTCGACCTATCCAAAAGCAAACTCATCCAAACACCGCGCCCACCCGCCCTTTGCTCTCTTTACCTGAATGGCACCAACAATCTTCCAGGTACCTAAGCCAGAATCCACTGTTCCCTGCATCTCAACAGCATATCCAGTGTTACTTATTTAACTTCAGCCTTTTCCTCCATGATCCTCTTGTTTGCCTCTCTTAGACTTCAGCAACAGCCCCTAGAGACTCGTTTGTGTAATCCTCCACCTATCTTGCATAGAAAATTTTCCTGAAAGTTCCATTTCTTTCTCCTCAGCTTCCCATCCCTGGGAGTTCTACATCCCCACCCCATTTTCACCCTTTCCTGAATATCCCATAAAGGTGAAACCGCTGAAATGCGTCTGGGGGCTCCGAGGAGCTTCAGTTCTTTATGTCTCAGCGCAGAAAGAATTCAGCGAGAGGCAAAGTGACAGATAAGTGACTTATTAGAATAGGACACTTGTGAGACTTGAGACTTCCCAAGTGGCTGGGTGAGAGGGTGCCGTGCTCCGAGAACTTAGTGGGCTACAGTTTTATAATCAAAGGAAAAGTGGGGAGGGGGAAAAGACCACTTTCTTCCTCATTCTTGAGTAGACGTCAAACTTCCAGCATCAGCTCCTCCTCCACGTGGCGGGGGCGGGGGGAGGGAGGCTCTTGTCCCTACTTGGTCAAGTCGGGACTGTCATGGTGCAATGGAAATGAGCCAAAAGGCGCTCATTTTCTAAAAATGGTAAATGATCTCAGGTTTCAGTATAATGTCACCCTTTCCTTATATTTTTTTGTTTTTAGTGTGTGGAGAGAAGCATGCCCTTGGAATCAGCTTACTGAGCTCACTGGGCAGGATGTGGGTCTCATGCCACCATTGTTTTATTGTTTTGGGGCATGTCTCATGCTTCTGTTGCATAGTTTTGTTGCTACGCAGGCCTGCTTGATTGAGTGATCATTAACTTAGAGTGGTCTCCCATACCTTTTTCTTTACTTACAATCCCCAGTGGGATTAACTATTTAATTACCTACTTTGTCCCTTCACTATGTCCCTATCAAAGACAGGAGGTAGAATGCTATAGAGAAAAGAATAGACTTAAATTTTTCTCCCTGAGCTCTTTTCTAGTGTTCCTCTTTTATCCTCACCTTTGTTCAACTGACATTTATTGAGTACATGCTACCTATCAGGCAATGGGTATACAGATAATTGAGACTAGTACAAAGAGGTCTGTAATGAGATGCCTCTAGAAAATGGAGGAAATCTGGTGAACTCTGTAAGTTAAAATTAGCTAACATCAGCTATCTGTAGAGCTTACCCCTGGTAAGATGCTGGTATAGATTTGTGAAACACCCAAGTACAGTCAAAAGTAATGGGAGTGTTTCCTCAATAGTAGGATGCAACTGAAGATAATTCTAGCCAAACTGATTATAGTATTTCAGAAGATGCACGTGTTAATAGAAAGATATGGTCCACATACCATCTAAATGGGGCAATTACAGTAGGAATGTGTTGTGCTTCTCTAACACTTAAGAGTATGTGTCTGCTAGACACAAAGGTTTAGGCTGTTATAGAAGGTTCCCTGGTGAAAGCATCAGCTTGTTCTCATAGTCTGGGTGAAATGTTTCTGAAGACTATCCAACCCTCTTAGCTCAGGTTCTGCTCTCAATTAACAACTTTCCAATTATTCTACTTTAGGATAAAAATATGAGACTGAAAAGGGGAGAACCAGTATGGGAAGATATATCTATCACTAGAAGTTAGTTAATTTGAATTCTGACCTATTCATCAATTGCTTGTGTATTTTGTTAGTGTAACTCTCTCCCCAAGAAGCCAATCAGCTCTGGAAGTTCTAATAGTGTCAACTTTTCAGCCCTACAGAGCACAGAACAAAATACAGTAGTAGGGACCCCATGACAACTCTGGTACCCTTCGAGGCCCTGCTTGAGGGGCCAGCTGACCTCCTGATTTCTTTTTTACTTCTATCACAGTGACCCTATGCTGTTAGGAAGGGTAAAGGGAAAAGAGATTATATTAAACCCTTATTAAGAGATAAGCCCTATGTTAGGGGCTACCTATGAAGTAGATATACAGTTGTACCTCGGTACCAGGACCCCCAGTGGATACTAAAATCCAAGGATGTTCAAGTCCCTTATATAAAATGGTGTAGTATTTGTGTATAACCTAAGCACATCCTCCCAGATGAAGTATCTCTAGATTACTTTTAATACCTAATACAATGTAAATGTTATGTAAATAGTTGTAAATACACTGTAAAACTATGTAAATAGTTGCTAGGGCAGGGCAAGTTCAAGTTTTGCTTTTTGGGGACTTTCCAGATTTTTTTTAGAATATTTTCCATCTACGGTTGATTGAATCCTCAGATTCAGAACCCATGGATACTGAAGGATGACTGTAATTGTTTCACAGATAAGGAAACCAAGGCTCAGAAACGTTTAAGCACTTGCTGAAGGTCACACAGCCACTTACAAAGACATGATTAGAACCAAGGTCTGCCTGATTCAAAGACTCTGCTCGTCATCCTTCCAAGCACACTACTTCACTAACTAGATTGTGGGTTTCATGAAGTCACTTAACTTACCCAACCTCGCTTCCTGCCTCTGTTACAGAGAGAGGGAGAGCTGGAGAGCAGGAGAGTTAGAGAGTGAGAGTGAGAGAGCATGAGAGAAGAATGGAATTAGACTTAATACTTTAAATTCCATCTAGCTATAAAACCTTATTAGATAAGTCCAGATAGGCCAATATCCTACAAATTTTATCAAGCTCAGTTACTATCTATTGCTCCCCAGACCTCCCTTCCCAGCATTCTTACCAGAGCTATTAAAATATATAACAGAGCAGGCCATTTGTAAAAGTCATACACCATCACAAACAGGCTGGATCTTATCTCCTTTAACACCTCTGGGATTTTTAACCAAAAGCAGCTGAGTTCCTAACCAGGCAATCTAGTTAATCAAACATTTAGGGCATTCTGGGTCCATTTTATCATTCCAACCACACTTCTCTCCCTTCCCCTTTTCTTCCACCTTTCCTCAACTCCACCCCCAGCCCCCTCCGTACTGAGCTTCACATCATTCATAAGAGGAGCAAGGCCTTTCCACAGCTCCCTGCCATTGCACATAACGTTGCCCTTGGCTAGAATGCTTTCAGCCTCCTCTGGACCTGCAAAATCCTCCTCATCCTTCCAGTTTCCACCCAGATATCACCTCCTCTTTCATGAAGCTTCCCTACTGTCACACACACAGCCTCAGTGTACCCACATCTCTTTGTTCATATCCTGCTGATAGCATTTAAGCACTCTGCCCTGTGTTTTGACCTTGGTCTCACTTCCTTTCTGTGACCACTTCAAGGGACAGACCATGTCTTCTTCACCTTTAAATCAGGAGTCCTTTATTCCTTCTACCTGGCTCTTAGTAGGGTAATTAAATGTTTTTTGCATAAACAAGTAAAACTCTTAGAGAATTAGCATCTTCTTCTCTAAAATATTTCTCTTTAGTCAACAAACCACTCTCCAAATGCTAGCTAGCTATCAACAGTAGACTGTGGTAGCCAGAGTGACAGAAAATACAACAGAAGCTCATCAATTAAATAAAAATCATATACCCTACCATAATAGAGTTGTTAGAATAAATGAGAATTAAATATAAAGAACCTAGTACAGAGGTGGAACCTGAGATGCCCAAATGCTGGATTAGGAGGCAGAATAGCTTAATGGTTAAGAGCTCAAATTCTGCAGCCTGACTCTCTGGGTTTGTTTACCAGATCTGTGACCATAGGTACATTACTTACCTAACCTCTAAGGGTCTCTGCTTCCTCAATGGTAAAGCGAGAGTAGTAACAGTAGCTACTTCATGGACTTGTTGCAAGAATTAAGAGTTTATAAATGTAAAACATTTAGCATAGTATAGTACCTGTCACCAACAAAGCAGGGGATCTCAAAAATTTGAACAAATTTGCCATTTCAGAAATAAACATTGAGTTTATCCTATGACCACTCCTGGATATACACCAAACAGAAAAGAATGTTTACATCCAACGAAAAGCACGTACAAGGATGTAGTATATTCATATACTGCAATACCACACAATGAAAATGAACAAATCACTGCCACACACAAGGATGAATCTCACAGACATTGTTGAGCAAAAGACAAACACAAATGTATTCATACTATGTGATTCTATTTATAAGAAGTTCAAAAACAGGCAAAACTAATCTATGGTGCTAGAGGTTAGAATAATGATTAACTGTGGCAGGGTGGTATTGACTTCCCTGGGAGCCTTCCGAGGTGCTAGAAATTTTCTGTATCTTGATATGGTGTATTCCCATGTAAAATTAAGCTGTACGCTTAAAAAGTGTGCATTTCTTATGTGTAAATTATACATCAGTAGGGACAAATTAATTTTTCTTTTTTTTTTTTTTTTTGCGGTACGCGAGCCTCTCACTGTCGTGGCCTCTCCCGTTGCGGAGCACAGGCTCCGGACGCACAGGCTCAGCGGCCATGGCTCATGGGCCTAGCCGCACCGCAGCATGTGGGATCCTCCCCGACCGGGGCACGAACCCCTGTCCCCTGCATCGGCAGGCGGACTCTCAACCACTGCACCACCAAGGAAGCCCCCAAATTAATTTTTTAATGAACAAATACTGAAGTAATCATCATAGGAAAAAGATGAATACTTTGTTGGGCATCTTACTCCTCACATTACATATTAGTGTTTATTAGTTTTCGTTTTGTTTTCTTTAATTACACGAGGCGGCCACCATAATGTCTCAGTGCTTAAAGCCTCTAAGACTCTTAATCTGTCCATGACAAACCTTCACTAAATAGTACATATTGTCATGACTATGTTTTTATTAGAAACAAAGACACTAAACTTGCCCTAGGGAGCTTGCAACTTACAAAGCTTTCATTTATTTTTGCAACAGGAATAATAATGTCGGCCCTCTCTATTCACATACTAGCTCACTATCCATTCGGTACATTTTACCGAACACCCAAGTATGCCAACAGTGAGCCTGGCATAACACATGCAGTGAATACATTGCCTCTGGCCAGATCTCTCTTTCCACATGATTGGTTTCCTCTAGTCATTCAAATCTCTGTTTAAATGTCCCCTCCACAGCAAGGCCTTCTCTGACCACAGCCTCCCACCATTCCCCACCACTGTCACTGGATTAGCAAATTACAAGGCCCTCACCTAAAACAAGTCCTTCTTAGAGATTCCATCTCTTTAACAGCACTCTAGTTGATTTACTTCTCTCTAGCCTGTCTCCTGCCTTCACTCAGATTATCTTGCACCAGACTACTGCCAAAGGCTTTTCTCCTCTTCTCCCTGCTTCCACTCTTCCCATTCCCTTAATATATTCCTCATACACTAGCCAGAGTGATCTTCTAATAGAAAATCTGATTCTTTTCTCACTTTATTCTTTTTCCCAGGTCATTTCACTCCCCTCACCCACTTCCCCGCCTTCCCCGCCCCCCCACGATCTCATTTCGTCTTCAGCGAGACTCTTGCCTCACATGCGCTTCTCAGATGCTAAAACTAGTAGACAAAAGCTTAATGAAAAACAGAATAGTACATAGACTCAAAGTATCTCCTACAACTACAAAGGGAAAAAGGAAAATTTTACAATTGAGAAACCTGAGAGATACCACCTTAATCAATTAATCAGAATTATCATTAACAATGAGACACATTGAATTATATGCCCCCTATGTGCTTCAGTGAAAGGATTCAATATCACTTCTGCAGTTTTCCTGCCAAAAAATGTATATCCTAAATCTGAATCAGAGTGAAGCATTCGACAAACCCAAGTTGAGGGATATTTAACAAAATAAATGGTCTGTACTCCTCAAAAATGTCAAAGTCGTGAAAGACAGAAAGACAAATGAACTATTCCAGATTAATGGAGACCAAAGAGACATAACAACTGAATACAGCATGTGATCCTAGATTGGATACTGGCCCAGAATTTTTTTTTTTCATTTTATATAAAGGACATTATGGGACAACTGGCAAATTTTGCATAAGGTCTGTACATTATAGTACTGTATCAATGTTAATTTCCAGAATTTGACAATTACATTGTGGTTATGTGAGAAAACGTCTTTTTTTTTTTTTTTTTTACTAAATACATATTAGCAAATATATATTAGTCAGAGCTCTTCAGAGAAATAGAACAATAGGATATATATGGAGAGGGCAAGAGCAAACAAGTGAGAGAGAGAGAGAGAGAGAGAAAAAGAGAGAGAGATTTATTATAAGGAATTGGCTCACATGACAATGGATGCTGACAAGTCCCGAGATCTGCAGGGTGAGTCAGCAAGCTGGAAACACAGGAGAGCTGATGGTGTAATTCCAGTCCAAGTCTGAAGGCTTGAGATCCAAGAGAAGCAATGCTGTAGTTCCAGTCAAAGACTAACAGGCTGGAGACCCAGAAAGAGCCAGTGTTTCAGTTCAAGTCTGAAGGCAGGAAAGAAGCCAATGTCCCAGTTCAAAGGCAGTCAGGCGGGAAAGAACTTTCTTTTTCCAGGAGGGTTAGCCTTTTTGTTCAGGCCTTCAACTGATTGGATGAGACCCAGCCACAATAGGGAGGGCAATCTGCTTTACTCGGTCTACCAATTTTAATGTTAATCTCATCAAAAACACCCTCACAGAAACACCCAGAATAATGTTTGACCAAATATATGGGCACCCTGTGGCCCAGTCAAGTTGACACATAAAATTAACCATCACAGGCAGTTAGAAGTAAATGGACTTATGTCTGAAACTTACTCTCAAATGATTCAGAAAAATAATTATATATGTGTAGTTAGATACATAAAAAGAAACAAAGCAAACATGATAACATGTCAATATTTGGATAATCTGGGTATCAGAGTGAGGGGTATACAAGAATTATTTGTACTATTTTTGTATTTCTATAACTCTGAAAGCACTTAAGAAAAAGTTAAAAATAAAATACACACACATAGAACCATACATCCAACATGACATCTGTTCTTCGATATCATAAAGACACTTCAGGATCAAGTCCAAAACAGAATTGGGCACCTAGTCTTTCCCTTCCCCACCCTTCCAAACCTGTGCTTCTTCCAATATTCTGTATCTTAGGGAACAAATGCCATCCATCCAGATGCACAAACCTGATAGTTATCCTTCATACTTTCCCTCCCGTAACTAGCCCATTACCACATCCTGTGGGTTTTACCCTCCCAATGTATATCTTACAGCCACAATTTATTTCCATCTTCACCTGCATGACCACCAGCGTGGTCCAAGTCATCATCATCCCTCACCTAGACTGCTACACTAACCTCCCAACTGGTCTCCCTGCTTGCACTCTTACCTCCTCTACAGTTCTCCATACTGCAGCCAGGGATCTTTGCAAAATAAAAATTTAAAGATGGCTAAATTCAATGCATGATCCTTGACTGGCTTTCGAAAAATAAAAAATTATAAAGGCAGTAATGAGACACCTGGGGAAATTTGAATGTCAACTATATATTAATAACAGTATTGAACAAATATTAAACGTCTTAGGCGTGGTAATAGTATTACGCTTATGTAGGAAAATATCCTTGTCTTAGGAGATACACGTTTAAGTATATAGCAATGAAATGTAAAGATTTTCGCAACTCTCAAATGGTTCAGCAAAAATGATAACAATATTTTTATTATATACACACATTCAAAGAGAGATTAGGGCTTCCCTGGTGGCGCAGTGGTTGAGAGTCCACCTGCCGGGGACTCACATGACATGGGTTCGTGCCCCGGTCCGGGAAGATCCCACGTGCCGCGGAGCGGCTGGGCCCATGAGCCATGGCCGCTGAGCCTGTGCGTCTGGGGCCTGTGCTCTGCAACGGGAGAGGCCACAACAGTGAGAGGCCCGCGTACCGGAAAAAAAAAAAAAAGGGAGATAAAAAGCAAATCTGGTAAAATGTTGTCAGTAAATATAGGTGAAGAATAAATGGGGTGCTCATTGTACTAACCTTGCAATTGACATTATGTTAAATTTTTTGAGTGTGATAGGGTATTGTAGTTATTTAAGAGAATATCCTTCTTCTTAGGAGATACATACTGGAGTACCTAAGGGTGAAATGTCATGCTGTCTGCAACTTATTTTCAAAAAAAGTATAGAAATACATTTTTAAAGTATATAAGTATACATAAAGTACTTAAACATAAAAGTATATATGTATAAGTATATAATATATATAAATGTAAAAAACAGTGAAAGGTAGAGGATGCTGTTTTGCGCTGTTCAACTTTTCTGCAGATTTGAAATTTTTCAAAATTAAAAGTTGGGGAAATACATATATGGAGAAATCGATAAAATATTAGGATACAAAATAAAATACTGGTTGAATTGACGAGTTACATATCATCTTGGAAAAATCTCATCCTGTTATATCCCCACTGAAAACCTTCCCTAGCTTCCTACTGCTCCTAGGATAAAAACAAAACTGCCTAACGAGGCCTTCTCCCCACAGGCCTATACATTCGCTCAGCTTCCCATCACCATTATCTCTGCCCCGTGGGCTCCAACTATATCTAATTACACCCAAAGGAACCACTCCCCCAAAGTTCTCTCTCCTCCTGGCCTTTGTGCGTGCAGCTACCACATTAGGAGGGGCTGAGAAAGGGATTTTTGTGCCTCTTGTAAACTGTTTCCTTAAGTTTTCTCTTCTCCCCCCAAGTCTGGACGACATGCCTCCTTAGCATCCTGCTCTTAGTCCCATCACAGCCCTTAGCACACAGTATTGCAACTGTCCACTCACTGGTCCATCTTCTCCAGTGTTCTGTAAACTGCCTGAGGACAGGGCCTGTCTTACCTCCCCAGCCTCCAGGACTGGTCTGGCACACAATAATTATGTATTCAATAAATGAAATGGACTTCCATTTTCTTGTATGTAAAATAAAGGTGTTGGGCTAGATAATCTACAAGATGTATTGTCAATAAAATGAATCGAATAATCTCAATATCAATTGCACAGAAGTTCCCGTTTTCTTTACAGTTCCTCAGGTTCAGAGCCTCCCACGACCTCACGAGTCGGGGGAAGTAGAGACTACAGTTCCCGAGAACCCTCAGGACACCACGTGGTGGCGGCCCGGTCTATCGCGTAGCGAGGACTCCATTTCCCAGCGTGCCTCAGGACGCGAAGTCTACGTTTCGCCCGGAACTTCAGGAGTCCGGCCCTGAATGGAAGCTGCGGTAGCGAAGACTGAGTGCAAGGTAGAAGGGGCCCAGCCTGGGGTTCAGAGGGGACACAGGGACATTGGCTCAACCAAAAGCCCGGAGTTGCACATACCCTACTCTTGCAACCTCCAGCTCATTCTTAGCGAATCCCCTTAGTAAGGAACGTGCCTCGCGCGCGGGCTCTCTCTAATCCACCGCCTGCCTTCAGCGGATCGCGGCTGGAGGCCAGATTCCCCCACGTCACACAGAGGAAAGAGGCGGTGCCTCGCGTCTCACTGTCGCGTCTAGGCGGGCTCCCAGTGTGGACGTTGGCCGGGGGGCGGGGGCTGGGGTGGTTGAGAGACTGGTCTCTCACCAAGAGCGAGGCCCTGACCCTCACTGCTCCCGTCCTTGTCTCTGCCGTAGCTGATGCTGAGTGGGCAGCTGGTCGGAAGCCTGTTCTCCATGGCTGGCCGCGTCTGTGTGTCCCGGGGCAGCGCCAGATCAGGGGCCATCGGTCCCGTCGAGGCCGCCATTCGCACAAAGTTGGAGCAGGCGCTGAACCCCGAGGTCCTGGAGCTGCGTAATGAGAGCGGCGGCCACGCGGTCCCACCAGGCAGTGAAACCCATTTCCGCGTGGCCGTGGTGAGCTCTCGTTTCGAGGGACTGAGCCCCCTGCAACGGCATCGGCTGGTCCACGCGGCGCTGTCAGAAGAACTGGCTGGGCCGGTCCACGCCCTGGCCATACAAGCGCGGACCCCCGCCCAGTGGAGGGAGAACCCTCAACTGGACACGAGCCCCCCCTGCCTGGGCGGGAGCAAGAAAACTCGAGGAACTCCCTGAACCCTGAGAGAGAGGGAGGACCGGGATCGAAACGGGTTGGGTGAGAATAAACTACTGGGACCTTCTTCCCTTCAATACAGTCTGGTATTTGTAAGAGTTGAGGACCTGGGCCCCATTCAACCGGCATATACAGGTTCTCTGGAGACAGCAATTCATTTCACATCAAGGTCAACCTAAGGAAAGCAGACAATCACTCACTACTGCTCTTGCCCTGGACTATTAAGGAAAAGCTGCCCAGTTGTTTCGTGTTAAATTGTGACTTAAGGAACCACCAGACCTTATGAGTTGCAAGTAATCCTGTACATTAAAAGAGAAATTATCATATGAGGTGAATTGCTGTGTTGTTAAAGGCCTGTTGAACCAGTGCTACAGATGTTCTTGGGAGAAGAAAGATACTTGAGGCCTAGCATAGTCAGGAAGGGCTTCATTAAACCAGAAAGGAAAGGAAAGTTGTTGCAGGCAGGGGGAAGAACCCAAGCAAAGGCGTAGAAGCTGGACTGGGCAGAGAGTTATTGGACAAGACAGCAGTTACAGACACATTTGAACTTCAGACTTGGGGAATGTTTGGCTTTCTATCAACCTGTCCATTTCCAAAAGGATTTACATTTGTTCGTGAGAAAAAAAAACTTTAAAAAAAAAAAACCACTAAAGCAGTGAAAAGATTATAATCTGGGAAGTAAGTATAGAAGGGGGAGAAAACTTTACATAGCCCTTTTTCTTATGAGCCTTCCAAATGTCATAATTCTGAGGGAAGCTCAGGTAATGTCTAGATAAGCAGCTTTCTGATGATCTCAATATGGAGATGGAACTTAGACAGTAAAGAGAAAGCTTGGTTAACATGTATCAACTGTTTCTGGCTAAAGAGTTTAGACTGCATCTGGTTGGGCAGTAGGGAGTCATTGAAGGGTGTTGAGGAAAGGATGCCAAAGAGCATTTTGGGGCAGATTGATCTGGCAGTGATGTGTAAGTGGGTTGGCATAGGAAATAGGAGGCACAGAGATTAACCAATGGTGCAGGCAGAACCCTGACCTAGAGGTCAGCTGTTGAAATGGAAAGGAAGGAGTTGATTTGAGAGCGACCATTTTTAAAAAGTCAGAAAACGGCTTGATTAGAACAGAAATGGACTAGAGTGAGAGGAGCCTCAATGGTAAACCTCAGGCAGTACTTTTCAGATTTCCTCACAGATAAAAATTCCCACGGGAGCTTGTTTAAAATGTGGATTCTAGGTCAACTCTCTTCCAAAAAAAAGATTCTGATTCCACAAGTCAGGAATGGAATCTGGAATCTACATTTTTAAAAAACACACAAGGATTTGGAGGAAAGTTGGTTCTATTCTCAAGAAATATTACTCCAAGTTTTTGTTTATTTGTATTCATTTTTGGAGTTCTTAGATTTTTTAAATGTTTTTGTAAATATTATTATGGCAAAAACTCTTGAGATCTGTCCTCTTAACAATTTTTTTTAAGTGTACAATCAATACATTATCACTGACTATAGGTACAATGTCATACAGCAGATCTCTAGAGCTTAATCATCTTGCTTAACTGAAGTTTTATGCCTGTTGATTGGCAACTCCCCATTCCCTTCTCCCCCAGCCCCTAGTAACCAACATACCACTCTGATTCTATTTGACTATTTTAGATAAAGTGGAATCATGCATATTTGTCTTTCTGTGACTGGCTTATTTCACTTAGCATAATGTCCTCATGGTTTATCATAGCAGAATTTCCTTCTTTTTTAAGGCTGGCAAGTATTCCATTGTTATGTACATACTATATTTTCTTTATCCATTCATTTGTCAATGGACATTTAGGTTGTTTCCATACCTTAGCCATTGTGATATTCTGCAATGAACATGAGAGTGCTAATACCTCTCCAAGATCCTGATTTCAGTTCTTTTGGATAAATACCCAGAAGTGAGATCGCTGGATCATATGGTAGTTCTATTTTTAATTTTTTGAGGAACTTCCGTATTTTCCAGAGTGGCTGTATCATTTTGAATTCCCACCAACAATGTACAGGGGTTCCAGTTTCTCCACATCTTTGCCAACACTTTATATAATAGCTATCCTGAGAGGTATGAGGTGGTATCTCATTATGGTTTTGATTTGCACTTCCCTGATGATTAGTGACATTGAGCATTTTTTTATATATACCTATTGGTCATTTTATGTCTTATTTGGGAAAATGGCTATTCGAGTCCTTAGCCCATTTTTTAATTAGGTTATTAGTTTTTTTGCTATTGAGTTGTAGGACATTACCCCAAGTTTTCAAAACTAGGAGACTGAGGGGGTGCTCCATCTGTAGAAGTGGAAAGGTCAGGATAGAGAGGCCAACTCAGGAAATAAATGTGATGTATCATGTTACTCTGGCCTTCAGTTTAGAGACAGAGGAGTTGTTTTTCCATCTCACGTCTTCCCCTCCCAGGACTGTCTCAGAGTTGGACGTAGGTGGAGGCAAAGAAGCAGACATAGATTTTAAGGATTTGTTTCCTTTTTATTTTTCATCAATATTTTCATTTTTTACATCAACAGAGTTGGGTTTAGGGTTCCCCAGGAAAGTAAGGGAGATGGATGGGTCCCTCCAGGGGGTTGCAGGGGAGAGGGCTGCATCCAGCAAGTGAAGGGTGAGGGAAGAGGGCACACACTCGTACACTGGGCACTGGAGAAGGCAGTCCTTTGAGCACAGACATCAAAGAGTTAAACAGTCACCACCTGGTTCATTGTTACAAAATGGGAGTGACCATAGGGTGGGGGGCACCAGACGCGGCATGAGGAGGGTGAATTTGGATTTTCTTTTTTTATTGTTGTTTTCACTTTTTTCCTTTTAACTTTTTTTTAACATTTACAAACAGCTAAAAACTACGACACATCACAGCTACGGTGGGGGAAAGGGGGCACCAAAGAAAGCAGCCACACAGAGTAGGGTGGGGCAGGGGCAGCTTAGCCTACAGGGGCTGTCCTGTGGAAAGGGTGAGATGAGGAGACTGAGGCTTCTGGTCCCTGCATTAGGAGTCCCTGGCTTACTGCCTAACCTCTTCCCACTTTACAGGAGTTGCTGGGAAGGCCCCAGTTCCTGCCCCGCCCCAGCTCCTTGTGCTTTTGATCTGCTGGTTGGACCATATGACTGGTTTCTTTCCCTCCACTGCTCCCCTGCCTGTGAGGGGACAGGTTGGAGGTGGGAGGGCTTCTGTGCTGTGCCTGTCTGTGCTATAGTGGGTAGAGCCTCTCATTCCAGAGGAGGCCTGTGCTTCTTGAGAGGAGGGGAGGAGATGGACCTTGTCAGGTGCCCTCAGCTCTCCCTAGACTGTGGGATTCTTATCCCAGCCTGGCCTAGGGCTCCTCCCACCCAGGCCCGGCACAGAAACAAGATTAGGGGAGGTACTGGGGGAGGCAGGGTTGTGTGTGTGTCCACTGAAGTTACCCTTGGCTTGTATCTGAGGACAGCATAACGACACCCCCACCTCACAGCACGCACACACACACACATAAATGTACACAAGCACTCACACACACAGTCCTGCTGAGCTGCCTCAGAACTTAATATATAAATAAATAAGAATCAGAAAGCTAATTTCATAAAATTCAGGCTTCTTACTTGTAGCCCAAATTGAGAAGGAAATGGAGGCTAGGGGGCTGAGGTTTATTGCTACTCCCCCAGCATCCAACAGGAGGCGTGAGAGGGCACTTTACGCGCTTACGACTCTAAGTTCTTTTGGTCCGTGGTCTACACTAGGCCCCTGCCGCCGGCATAGCCACACGCCTGTGCTTTCACCAGGGCCCAGGCAGAGGGAATGAGGGGGAAGGCAGGAAGCCTGTTCTAGAGTCCCAGGCGCCAGGAAGAGCAAGGGCCTCTCTCCAACACTGGGGAGAAGTGTGGGGCCAAGCCTTCTCTTGGGCAAAGTCACGGGTGGGAGGAGGTGGGGGACAGGGCTGCACCCCAAACCTGGGATGGAGGAGCCTTCCCTGTAGTCCCTGCCCATGGGGTCACGCACGTGCACACACATACACACGAATACACGGCTAAGACACCAAACAGGAGCGGGGAATGAGGGCTCTTTGTGGCCAGGATGGCAGGGCAGGGAAGGGGAAGAAGGAATTGTTGGTCTCACAGTGTGCCTGCCACCCCCGAAGCCCCAGAGACTCTCACTGCAGCACCTGCCCCCGCGTCTCGGGCAGCTTCAGGGCCAGAGAACTACCAAGGGCAAGAGCAGCTGAGGCAAAGAGGATGGGGGCGGCCTTGGTGATTCCCACAAAGGATGTGAAGATGCTGATCCCCAGCACAGCTGCCAGCTTACACAGAGCATTCAGGAAGCCGAAGGCTGTGGTCCTGCTCAGGAGTCCCCCAGCGCAGCACGCAGGATGCAGGGGCCCGGCCCAGGAGGGAGACAAAGGGAAGAGGCATGGGAGGGTTTGTGGGGGAAGGGTGGGTAGGTGGGAAAGTGAAGGAGAGACGGCAGGCAGTGTCCAAGAGGAAGAGGAAAGATGGAGAGATTAGAGAGGTGAGGGATGCACATCAGGGAATACAGATAAATTGGGAGGCAAGGGGGAAAGGACACCAAAAAATTAAGTTAAGACTTCAAGGAGTGAATATAAAAGCTACCAACTTGTAGAGGAGAAACTCAAGGGGAATATGTACCCTTTTACCCCTAAAGATGCCTTTCCCAATCAGCCCCCTTCCTCACCCCTTTTCTGTCCTGTCCTGTGAGCACTAAACCTGCTGCCCTGCCCCTACCACACTCCAACTACCTCTTGTCCGAGGGGTAGAGTTCAACAGTCAACACGTCCAGCGCGTTCCAGGATGCAATGCTGACCCCCCCAAAAAGGCAGAGCAGAGCAATCATGGCTGACTCGCTGTTCCCAAAAGACAGGAAGAAGCAGGAGACACAGGACATCACGCTGGAGCCAGCTAGAGCCGGGGAAGGAGAAAGCAGCATGAGCCTGGCCACAGCCCACACTGTCCTGTCGACCAGCGTTGAGCACAGCCCAGGATGAGACTCTCTTTTTGCCAAGGTACCCAAAAGAAAGGCTTTCCACTCATCCCCAACCTCCCTTAAAATTGTCTTATTAACAATTCAGTACCAACCATTTCTTCAGTGCAGGCTATGGGCCAAGCAACTTGATGGTTTACACGCATTGCTAATAAGGCAACCTCATGAGACAGGTACTATCATCACCGCCATGTTGCAGATGAGACAGCTGGGCTCATAGAGGTAAAGTGACTTGCCCAAGGTGGAGCTGAGATTCAAAACAGATGACCTCAAAGCCTGTGCCCTGAACTTGCTATTCTGCCTACCTCCTACCCCCAGAAGAGCTTCCCCAC